GAGGAGGAGGAGGAGGAGCAGGAGGAAGAGGAGGAGGAAGTATTCTGGCCTGCAGGCCACTGACAAAGAGGCCGTGCAGGTAGCCATGCAGCACCAGCAGCAGCTCGTAGATCATGGCGCCACGCAGGGACCAGGCCTGAGCCCCTCTTCTCAAGGAGCCCCAGTGACTCTCCCGGCCTCCTTAGGGCAGAACCAGCTCTGGACGCTCGATCATCCCCCTGCAACGCTTGTTGTTTGCTGAGGAGCCTTGCCAAGGCCTCACTCATCACCCCTCAGGTGCCTGGATTCCCGGTGACGGATGGGATCAAGCCCGAAAGTGACTAATATGTTGCCATTTTATTTCGCCTTGTCATATATTCCTTTTTTTTCTTTCTTTCTCTTTGATGGTTATGGGGGGGGGGGTTTGGGCTTGCCCCTTTCCTGTGTGGGGAGGAGTGGAGGTGGAGAGCGCTGTTGAGGCCAGGTGTTTCTCCTTCCCATCGGAACGAAAGCCGACCCTGCGGAGACCTGGAGGTGGGGTGGGTGGACAGCAGGTGATGCGTCGATTGACTTGCGTTGGAGGCTGTGTCTTGGGGGGGGGGGCTCTTTCTAATTTCCAATATTAGGTGTTGTAGTTCTGGGTTAGGTCAGATCTGGAATGACAACAGATTTTTGCCAATTTGATGCTTTCCTAAAGAAAAGAAATTGTTTCGGAAGAGGACTTGGCTCTTTTCCTTTTTTTGAAATGGATTTCATCGCTTGGAAACCTGACCGTCGGGGTCTTTCAGGCACTTAACTTGGCTGCCTGTTTAGTAGCTGCAGCCCTTCCCTCCGGGGGCCTTGTCAGAGCTGCCTTCCGGTTTTGCCTGCCCCAATGTAGCTTGCTTGGAGGGAGGGAGGGTGGGTGGGAGGATCGGTTGGAGGAGGGGCAAGATGCCAAAATGGCCTCAGGAGAGGGGAGGAGGGAGGGGGAGGGCCAGGCCTGGTGATTCAGCTGGTCCACTGAACTGCACACAAGTTAACAACCAGTTCAGCTCAACCGGTGCGAACTGGCTGAATCCCACCACTGCCTTGGAGGTCAGGAGACCCTACCCCATTCCATCCAATCTTCCTGTCCAATCTTTTCGTGAAGACCTCCAGACATGATCCCTCATATCTGGAAAGCTGGCTTGGGTTTTTTATGTGGTTCTATCTCCAGACCTAAGGTGGACCATTTCTGACCTCCTAGGTGGAGGAACCTTCAACCTACCTTGGAGGAACTATGGGGAGAGAAACGAGAGATACCGGACGAGGGTTTCTAGAGGCACTTCTGGAAGATCTTCCTGAAAGAAGGACAGGAATTCCACCTAAGTCCCTTTGTATTGTAAAACACACAAGCGAAAGGGTGAAAATTCAGAATTTAAACTCTTCATTTGCAAAATCAGTTTATTGAGTATTGTTTGATTGTAACAGGGATAATCTGGATTTGAAATGCGGATTCTTTTTCGTCTTCATGCTTGTATCCAGAGGAAGAGACTCATCCAAATGCCAAATGGCTAGATATTAAATGATCGATGATAAATTATTGAAGAGACAGAGACAGAGAGAATGAATGGAGGGATGGATAGATAAAACAGACAGACAGATAGATAGAAAACAGAGAAAGATGAGAGAGAGAGAAAGAGAGAGAGAGAGAGCTGAGAGATGAAAGAGATATGATGGATGGATAGATAGATGATAGAGGGAGGGAGATAGATGGATGGATGGATGGATGGATGGATAGAGGGATAGAGGGATAGATGATAGATAGATAGATAGATAGATAGATAGATAGATAGATAGATAGATAGATAGATAGATGATAGATAGATAATGGATAGATAAATAGATGGATAGATAGATAGATAGATAGATAGATAGATAGATAGATAGATAGATAGATGATAGATAGATAGATAGGTGGATGGATGGATGGATGGATGGATAGAGGGATAGATGATAGATAGATAGATAGATAGATAGATAGATAGATAGATAGATAATGGATAGATAAATAGATGGATAGATAGATAGATGATAGATAGATAGATAGATAGATAGATAGATAGAT